AAGCTACTGAGGAGTTCATGGCCGCATGGAGGGCTGCTGCTCAGCGAGTTTCAACTATTCAGCAAGCAATCACTGTTTCGGCTGATCCTTATTCCTCTGCACCTAAACCGGTAGAGGCTACTGAAGAGGTCAAAAGGGCTACAGCTGAATTCATGGAAGCTTGGAACAAGGCTGCAGCAAGAGTGCCATCTATTCAAACCACCATGTACCAGCTCTCAGGAACAACACCATCTGCTACCCCTGCTCAACCAGCTGGATCTACACCACAATTTGCTCCATCAGTGGAACAAGCTACTGCTGAATTCATGAAGGCATGGAATGCTGCTGCTGCTGCCGCTGCAGCTGCTCCTGATGTCAATATCATCATGGGTGCTAGCTCACGTCCCCAAACCCCTGCCCAATCTATTGGTACTTACTCTGCTCCTTCCTCTTTCACTCCAGCTGCCCCTCCTGTTCCCTCACATGGAGCTCCCCGCCAGTTGAACCTACTCCTGAAGTTCAGAGAGCTACTGCAGAATTCATGGCTGCATGGAATAAGGCTGCTGCACGAGCAACCAAGATTCAGTCAGTCTTAGTCAAGTCTGGAACTCCTGGTCATTACAACATTCAAGTTCCTCAGCAGGTTCAAGCTACCAGGGAAGTACAAAAGGCTACAGCTGAATTCATGGCTGCATGGAATGAAGCTGCACGTCAAGCAACTACTGTTCAGCATGCTATGTATTCCGTACCTCAGCCAGTCCAGCCAACTGAAGAAGTTCGACGAGCTACTGCTGAGTTCATGGCTGCATGGGAAGCTGCTGCACAGAGAGCATCTGCTATCAGACAAGCCGTGAGTGTGACTGCTGATCCTTATTCTGCTGCACCAAAACAGGTAGAGGCTACAGAGGAAGTGAAGAGAGCCACAGCTGAATTCATGGATGCTTGGAATAAGGCTGCAGCTAGAGTAGGAGCCATTCAGACTACTGTTTACCAAGTAGCAGGTACTGTACCAGCTGCTGGTCCTGCTCAGCTTTCTGGTTCTGCTCCCCGCTTCACTCCATCAGTGGAACAAGCAACTGCTGAATTCATGAAGGTATGGAATGCTGCTGCTGCTGCCGCTGCAGCTGCTCCTGATGTCAATATCATCATGGGTGCTAGCTCTCTTCCTCGGACTCCTGCTCAGGCTGTTGTATACCAAGCACACTCTGTTGGTGCCCCCTCTGCTCCTTCCTCTTTCGCTCCAGCTGCCCCTCCTGTTCCCTCACATGGAGCTCCCCGCCCAGTTGAACCTACTCCTGAAGTTCAGAGAGCTACTGCAGAATTCATGGCTGCATGGAATAAGGCTGCTGCACGAGCAACCAAGATTCAGTCAGTCTTAGTCAAGTCTGGAACTCCTGGTCATTACAACATTCAAGTTCCTCAGCAGGTTCAAGCTACCAGGGAAGTACAAAAGGCTACAGCTGAATTCATGGCTGCATGGAATGAAGCTGCACGTCAAGCAACTACTGTTCAGCATGCTATGTATTCAGTACCTCAGCCAGTCCAGCCAACTGAAGAAGTTCGACGAGCTACTGCTGAGTTCATGGCTGCATGGGAAGCTGCTGCACAGAGAGCATCTGCTATCAGACAAGCCGTGAGTGTGACTGCTGATCCTTATTCTGCTGCACCAAAACAGGTAGAGGCTACAGAGGAAGTGAAGAGAGCCACAGCTGAATTCATGGATGCTTGGAATAAGGCTGCAGCTAGAGTAGGAGCCATTCAGACTACTGTTTACCAAGTAGCAGGTACTGTACCAGCTGCTGGTCCCGCTCAGCTTTCTGGTTCTGCTCCTCGCTTCACTCCTGCTGTTGAGCAGGCTACTGCTGAATTCATGAAGGCATGGAATGCTGCTGCTGCTGCCGCTGCAGCTGCTCCTGATGTCAATATCATCATGGGTGCTAGCTCTCTTCCTCGGACTCCTGCTCAAGCTGTTGTATACCAAGCACACTCTGTTGGTACTTACTCTGCTCCTTCCTCTTTCACTCCAGCTGCCCCTCCTGTTCCCTCACATGGAGCTCCCCGCCCAGTTGAACCTACTCCTGAAGTTCAGAGAGCTACTGCAGAATTCATGGCTGCATGGAATAAGGCTGCTGCACGAGCAACCAAGATTCAGTCAGTCTTAGTCAAGTCTGGAACTCCTGGTCATTACAACATTCAAGTTCCTCAGCAGGTTCAAGCTACCAGGGAAGTGCAAAAGGCTACAGCTGAATTCATGGCTGCATGGAATGAAGCTGCACGTCAAGCAACTACTGTTCAGCATGCTATGTATTCAGTACCTCAGCCAGTCCAGCCAACTGAAGAAGTTCGACGAGCTACTGCTGAGTTCATGGCTTCTTGGGAAGCTGCTGCTCAAAGAGCATCTGCTATCAGACAAGCCGTGAGTGTGACTGCTGATCCTTATTCTGCTGCACCAAAACAGGTAGAGGCTACAGAAGAAGTGAAGAGAGCCACAGCTGAATTCATGGATGCTTGGAATAAGGCTGCAGCTAGAGTAGGAGCCATTCAGACTACTGTTTACCAAGTAGCAGGTACTGTACCAGCTGCTGGTCCCGCTCAGCTTTCTGGTTCTGCTCCTCGCTTTACTCCATCAGTGGAACAAGCAACTGCTGAATTCATGAAGGTATGGAATGCTGCTGCTGCTGCCGCTGCAGCTGCTCCTGATGTCAATATCATCATGGGTGCTAGCTCTCTTCCTCGGACTCCTGCTCAGGCTGTTGTATACCAAGCACACTCTGTTGGTACCCCCTCTGCTCCTTCCTCTTTCACTCCAGCTGCCCCTCCTGTTCCCTCACATGGAGCTCCCCGCCCAGTTGAACCTACTCCTGAAGTTCAGAGAGCTACTGCAGAATTCATGGCTGCATGGAATAAGGCTGCTGCACGAGCAACCAAGATTCAGTCAGTCTTAGTCAAGTCTGGAACTCCTGGTCATTACAACATTCAAGTTCCTCAGCAGGTTCAAGCTACCAGGGAAGTGCAAAAGGCTGAATTCATGGCTGCATGGAAGCTGCACGTCAAGCAACTACTGTTGCATGCTATGTATTCCGTTCAGCCAGTACTAGAAGTTCGACGAGCTACTGCTGAGTTCATGGCTGCTGGAAGCTGCTGCACAGAGAGCATCTGTTATCAGACAGCAGTGAGCGACTGCTGATCCTTATTCTGCTGCACCAAAACAGTAGAGGCTACAGGAAGTGAAGAGAGCCAGCTGTCATGGATGCTTGGAATAAGGCTGCCTAGAGTAGGAGCCATTCAGACTTTTACCAAGTAGGTACTGTACCGCTTGCTGCTCCTCGCTTCACTCCATCAGTGGAACAAGCAACTGCTGAATTCATGAAGGTATGGAATGCTGCTGCCAGCTGCTCCATCATGGGTGCTGGTTCCCGACCTCAGGCTCCTTCCCACTCTTTACCCTACTCAGCACCACCTCTGCTGTGCATACTTATGGTGTTCCTGTAGAGCCTACCCCTGAAGTTCAGAGGGCAACAGCTGAATTCATGGCTGCATGGAATGCTGCTGCTCAGAAGGCTACACTGATCCAGTCATCTCTCGTGAATCTGCTCAAGCTCCTACACAGGTTGGTGCAAACGGATGCTGTCAAGAAGGCAACACAGAGTTTATGGCGGCATACAATGCAGCTGCTAGAGCACCCGTTGTTGAACAGGCAGTGTCAACCATCCCACAACAAGTCCAGGGACTGAAGAGGTTAAGAGAGCTACAGCAGAATTCATGAATGCATGGCATGCAGCTGCTCAACGAGCATCAGCCATTAAGCAGACAGTATCCTCAGGACCACAGCCAGTGCAAGCAACTGATGCAGTGCAGAGAGCTACAGCTGCATTCATGACTGCTTGGAATGAAGCTGCTTCCCGAGTTCCAAGGATCGAGACAACCATGTATACTCTGTCAGGCTCAAGTGCACTGGATACCTGTGCTGCTTGTGCAGCCCCATCACCTGTCTGATACCCTGAGGTTAGAGCTGCCAAAGAACAGTTCATGGCCACATTCAGAGCTGCTGAAGCGGCTGCTCGCCGCGCATCTGTATCCCGTGGTGTACTGCCTGTTCCCTCAGTGTTGGCTGTGCATGCCCCATCTCATGTCGTAACATACAGCACAGGTGCCCCTGCCCACAGTTACGTTCTTTCTGACCGTCTCTTTGCTCCATTCCAAGGACTTCCACTTCATGTGAAGGACTGCGATTAGAAATCCTGTATGACTGATCTAGCTATTATCATTTATAGAATCTTGTTACTTTTTCACGACAAATGCGATTGTAAATAAAAACTAAAGAAATCAGAATGTCATGGTATTAAAATGTTTGACACGAAACATTATTTAGTGTGTATTTGTTCCTTTTATGTATTAGATCATCTACATCCTAATTCTAGTTCAAGATGTTTAAAATCACACGAGCACAATACATTTTCTTTATAGTGGTTATGGTAAAGCTGATTATTTCTCTTAAGCTTCACTCAGAACTAATGCTTTATGCATCACACACTCACTTTTTTGTGCTTCTCAACTGCAGTGTGATAGATCATCCAGTCTTTAGACGTATCTTGTGATGAGACTAATGGGTCAATGGTTCTACCACTAGCCGTTTCAACTGATGTACCATATTATCCTATTGATCAACTCTGTATACATTTCATATCGACATGCAATTAAAATATTTCAAATATCTGAAATATCAAATCCTATTTCAGACAACTGGATATTTAATACGACAATGGTATGGGTGAGGTATGCCGGAAGTTTTGGATTCCTAATAGTTTCTTATGAATTATTTGCTGCTTGGCTTGTCATTTATGTATATCACTAACAAAAATCCTTTTTTAAGATATGGTCAATCAATTTTAATTACTACTCAAAATATTTGAATTGTAAAAAGGCACACACATAAAAGACTGGACGAAATTGAATACAGTATACTGTTTGATCTCAGGTATTTTTTTCACTTGGTAACTACAGCAAGTTCTCTTATATTT